ATAATTTGTAAGACTTGTCATTATTTTTTTGTCTTCTATCGACGTTCAAACTCTGTGACGTAATGGTTTCTGTTAACGGTTTCAAAATGCTTTAAACACGTAATTGATGTTAGCTCCAATAGTTCTAGTACACACAACAAGATTAAGCCCAAATTTGATTAAATTAACCAGGAATTACATATGGCAACTGGTTTATTTAGAAGTCTTAGTATTATCTTACTAGACTGACTGTTTTATAAGTAAGCATATACAATAATATTAATAAGAGAAAGTTGTGTTACTCGTTGAAAGAGAAATGCGTACGTGTATAAGAGAATAGAAGTGGCTGTTCGTACATTGCTTAAGTCCGTTCTGTCTTTTGCTGGTTTTAGTATTAATTAAAGACAGAGACTATGCAGTAAAATTATCGTGTTTAAAATTATAACAATATGAGAAGAACTCGATATTTCCCCTCCCAAAATGCCCTTCAATTTATTGCATTTGGAATAAAATACATTTTTAGGCAGGGATTGGAAGGTAATATTAAAATAAATCTTAAGGACGTCAGATTTCAAAAGGTGTGAACAATTTATAGTGCATCGTCAGGTTCGATAAGAAACAGAAAAATTTCTTTAGTAGCTGAATAAGGATTCTGTTCCATCCCTTATACATCGGGAATCATATTAAAATAGTGCGTCGTTATCTGTATGGTTTATTCTCAATGATTTAACAGCCGGTTTTGTAAAGTGCAGTAGAATGGTTTCGATTATACGCTAAATAGCGAGAATGTTGAAAATGTTTTCTAAATTTCTAGTCGATTTTTAGGATGTCGGTGGTCTTTTGGGTTATTATGTCATGTAATATCTTGACAGATGCCATACGTTCAGAGGAACATGTAATCCTCAGTGTGGAGACGGTATATTGTTCTTTCGAAACATTGGCTTACAGCCGGGATAGCACAGAGCCCGAAAACTCAGAAGACCACCCTATATGTAGACTTTTAACGTGCATCCAGTACACAAAACATCGATAAAATCTTTTGAATAGATTTGAAGGTGAAATCAGACGAGACAGTTTTAAATAACACCCCAATTTTTCTTCTATTTTGTGCATAGAACGCTACAAAGGATGAGACTTATGGTTGGTTTTTCGTGTTCTTTTCAAATGTCATCAGTAGCTTGACTCACTATTGGTTTTAATCTGTTAAAAAATATAATTACAAGTTAAAGACAGAATCAGTGTAAAAACAACCACTTCACTACGAGACTGGTATCGGCTATGCCTTCTGTAAATTCCTGTGTGACCAAACATATGATATCCTTCCTTCAGTACGTTCACACTTTCGTGAAAACTGAAATAACTTCTCTATGTCTGTATTTGTGCCTTCATTAGTGAGAATGCAAGTCTTGTTGGATATAAAGGAAAAGACTACAGCTTTCTAGAAGAAATCAGTACCCGTGTTATACCTCCCTTCTGAAAATATATTCACTTGTTTTTTATAATTACTTTGTAGAGAACTGCTTTCTCGTTTGTGCGTTGAAATGCGTCATTGTACGATGCATTCGTAATATCTATAACCTTCAGACCCTTTTTTTTTTAAAGGTGTTATGTACGTATAAATAATATTCTGAAATCGTAATTTAAATGTTTGCCCATGCGAGAAACAAGTCTTCTAATGAGAGATTTTACAGAAGTTGCTTTCGTAGTGAATAGAAGCTTTTTTTATTGGTTGTTTTTTTTTAGCGATATGATACGAATATGAGAGTATGTCTCTGTAATTGTGCAGATCCGTGTTCCTTGTGATCTTGATGCAGAGATCATTGGCATTCTCAGTAATGGAGACCTAACCTTCAGACCCTTGACTGGCACACATCTTACGGATTCTTACGTCTCTCCAGATATGGAAAAAGAAAACTTAAAAATTCTTTTAACCGTGTATTATATTTTTTTACGTATTTTCCAGATGTTTTACTTTGTTTCCTGAATATGTCTTCCTGTCGTAGAAAGTGTTGTGAATGTTGACAACACCAACTTTGTTTTTGAACTTTCACCTTGTGTCGTATCGTCTGGTAGACCAGTGGTATTCAATATTTTTTGTTCGCGTACCCCCAGATATAATTTCTCTTCAACTTTGTACCCCCAAAGTTGTTGGTGTATAATTCAAGTTATACATAGTATATAATCTACATCTAAAATAAATTAAATAAATTACATTACTGATTATTCAGTGTTTATCATAAAATAATATTTTATTTTAAATTTCACGTACCCCCTAAGATGTCTTCGAGTACCCCCGGGGGTAAAATAAAACCCCCCCAGATATAATTTCTCTTCAACTTTGTACCCCCAAAGTTGTTGGTTTATAATTCAAGTTATACATAGTATATAATCTACATCTAAAATAAATTACATTACTGATTATTTAGTGTTTATCATAAAATTATATATATTTTTTAAATTTCACGTACCCCCTAAGATGTCTTCGAGTACCCCCGAGGGTACGCGTACCCCAGGTTGAATACCACTGTGGTAGAGCCACAAAAGTGGCTTGGCCGACGTATGTTTCATATGCGGTTTTACCGATAAGTTTGTGCGTCACACTAATCAGCAAATTCATCTTTTTCATGTATCGTCCTATTTATATTTGTCGTTTTGTTTCAATTAATTTTTGAGAAAACAAACGATAAGCCCCGGTGAAATTTCAGGTTTTCCTTCTTGGTTATTTGTCAGTATTTTTCCAAGCACCAAAGTTATATGGGTACGTGGTGGGATAGTAATTAATAACACGAACCTGACATAACTCGAAGTTAATTTTTTTTTTTAACAAATTAGGACGATTCAAAGAATGGCCTTATGAGATGAATCTCTAAATCGAATCTGATAAAAATTTGATGCACCTCTGTATTAACCCTTATGTGGCGAAAGCTGTCCGTCGGATAGACGTTCTTAGACGTGAACGAGGTCTAACATTCTAGAACATTGAGAGTATTTGATGTATTATTGGCATTTCAATAACAGATCTCGCAAGATTTACCGTTGAGTTCATATTATCTTTGAGATAGAAACGTATGCATTTCAAGGAGAACAGTTTTCTTGACTTCTGTACGTAGCAGAAGTATCTTTTTTTGGAGTTCTTTGTTTACGAAGTAGGATATATTGCTTGCTGCATACGTAAGGATGTTCATGTAGGACAGCATCGCCTTCATCCGTGCAGTCGCTGAACAGACGGAAATATGTTTAAGTAAATTGATGCCGGATCGCTCCTAAATAGTCAAATCTCCTCAAATTAATGTTGTATCTGTTCTTACCAAGTGTATAAGTTTTTTTAACTTAAACTCTAGTGTGTACTTTAGTTGGCAGTATTGATATTGTTTTTGAACGTCATTATTTATTTTCTTGGTTCAGGTTTCTACTGCATTTTATGTGTGCAAATAAGTTTTTATCATCGTCCTTGCGGATATTTAAAAGATTTGAATTTATCTGTGAGTTGTGTAAGTTTCTGAAGTGATTAATTATCATAGTGATGATGAAAAGCTCCCATCGTCGTGTAATCACGCACTTACCTTGTGTAATTCGCGTCACTTATCAAGTTAAAATGTAAACTGGAAGTTATTTGTACCGTATTATCAGAGCTTTCACTGTATACAAACCATGATTATATGGTAATAGATATATTAATCGTGTATATTTCGATATTATGGAAATATTAAATAAATATATTGCGGGTAGGCCCTGTACAAAAACAAGGACCCCTACCAAGCCATGTGTTGTTAGTATATCTTAAGTCAGTGGATGTTGAAATTATTAATAACTGAGTATGAAGACTTGTTTTAAAGAAATTTTGACAGTTGCAACATAGAAGACGAAGGATACACAGCAAACGTGCTAATAGTTCCTGATGAATCTCCTGTATTCTTGATTCCCCGTGTTAGGTATAAATCATTTTAGTATGAAAGTGAGTGTTCAAGTGTATAACGTAATTCTAGTTTGCCC